CGGTTCGGTTTAGGACCAAGGTGTGAAATGAGTTTAGGTTAGTTTTAGAGTCAGGTAAGGTACCTGTGAGGTTAATTTTAGGGTGAATGTTCAGGGTTAGGATATAAAATTTCCAAAAAAAAGAAAAAAAAAAAGAATTGAAGTCAATGGAAAGTCCCCACAAGGATAGAGAAACATGGTAGGTGTCTGTGTGGGTGTGTGTATCTGTTTTTGTTATCGTTTCAGGACCGTTTCTGGTATCCTCACCTACCTTGTTAGGACCAGTGGCCCTAATGGGGACCAAAGACCGCTCCTAATAAAGTGGAACACCATTTGTGGGTCAGGGGTTCATTTAGGACTAAGGTGTGAAATGAGTTTAGGTTAGTTTCAGGGTCAGGTAGGTACATGTGAGGTTAGGCTGCAGAAATTACTGAAAATGAATGAAAGTCAATGAACGGTACTAATAAGGATAGAAATACACACTGCTATGTGTGTGTGTTGATCGTGGATGCACACAAACCTTTCCAGAACATGTTTCTGGTCCAGAGCCCCAGCTGTGTTGATACCAGCTGACTGTGTGAGCCCCTCCCCATCTGGATGGTTTTGGACAGCAGCAGAAGACACAGCAGGCTGGCTCAGCTGCATGACAATATATTATTTAAGAAGACGCATTCACAGCTGTGCTTTCACTCCTTTTTACACCCACAGGCTGCTTTAAATCACGATGCAGAGGTGTATTTGACTGCACCTTTGTTGGGGGTGTGGCTCCAGTGGTACAGAGTGGGGGACCCTCCTTAGCAGCCTGACTTAAACAGCTGGAACTCACTGATGTTGGGAAGAAACACAAAGTAACTCAGAAATAAAGAAATTGTATTTTCTGTGAAGATGCAGGGTGATGCTGTGCTGATTGGCTTTTCTAGAAAAGCTGAAACTCTTGTTAAAACAAAAAGAAGCAGAAAAGGAGTTTCCAGCTGAAAGAAGCTAATTTGTTACTGTTCTCAGGGACGCAGCGCCCTCTGTTGGCTTGGGTCTTCTCCAGATCAGACAGCATGGATTCATAGGAACTCCTCAGGGCAGCAATATCCTCCTGCAGCTTCGCTCTGGACTCCTGCTCTGCGTTGTACTCAGCCTGCAGCTTTGCCAGTTTCTCTTCATACTCCTGTAGAGAGAATGGACTAGAAATCACCTGGTTCTCACATGATGCTCACATAGATGTGAAGTGATTTATGGGTGTGAAAGCAGTTTCAGTTTGCCTCTTTAATCTGTTCTTTCTTCGTTTCCATAGAGCTGGGTTTTATCCAAAGATCATCTGAGGACTGACCAGCCAGCAGAGCTGCACGATATTCGAAACAGAGAAAACACTCAGCAAAAGCAAATTAAATTTCTTTAAGTATCTGCGCCTGGACCAGGTTGCGTTATCGAATTCATCGTTTACATGAGAGGTCAATGGTGCCCAGCTGCCCAGAGACGAGTGCCCTCAGCTTCTTGATCTCTTCCCGATACTCTCGGAGCAGAGCATCCTTGGGGTCCTCGTTGATTCGGGGCCTGTTCTGGATGCTCTTGGCCCGGTTCGCGTACCGCAGCGTGCTGAGGCTTTCCTCGTAGTTGTTATCTGCCGGTGAGAGGCAGGCGATCATCAAGGTGCGGGTGTTTCCTCCCAGAGAGTCCTGCAGCAGCCGGGTCAGCTTCGAGTCCCGGTAGGGGATGTATTTGGAGCGGCCGTCCACCAGGGCGGAGATGACGTTGCCCAGAGCCGAGAGGGAGAGATTGATCTTCGTGGCCTCGCGGAGTCGCTCCCCGGTAGCGCCGGTTTTGGACTGACGCTCACTTCCCGCAAGGTCCACGAGGTTTAGTTTTCCTGCTCGCAGATGGTCCTGGCCAGCTGGATCTGTACGTTTGTTAACAAATGAAACAAAGAGAAAAGAAATATTTCAAGCCCATTCTGAAATACAACACATTTTACTTAAAGGGATCCATGATTAATTGTAACATTGGACTTTATTTGATAAACCTTACCTTCTCCTCTCTGTCAGCGCTCTCTGGTTTCATTTAAAAGAGTCGATCATCAGATATTGTCCAAGATTAACCTTCAGGGTGGAAACAGCTCGCTCCCACCGATGACCTATCCATGTCATCATTTACCCAGAATGCTTTGAGTGTGAATAAAATGTCTC